ACAGATCAAAAAACGATTAATGGTTTTTGTTAAAAAAGTAGGTTAAAGAACAACTGCGTTACTATAGCACATTACCCCTGTCCCTGGTTCAAACTTTGGCCTCCTACCCCCGTTGAACTTTTGATCTCTGACCTCTGGAGTATAAAAGCACTCCTCCCCATCGTCGGGACCTATTTTTATTTAGCTTAGGCTCCTATTCTGGGGAGCTTCGGCTCTCCAGAGCCTCACCTTTGTTTGTATTATCTCTTTAACATACTATGTATTAATAAATATGCATATAGGACACGACGTCGTGACACGCACACTCTTATAAACTGGGCATACAACTAGTCTAAAAATATTAACTGTTAGGGTCGCTATAGTAGGAAGGTGCATTCACGTTTATGCGCCACCTCGGAAATTTCTGATTCAGCTCCCAAGTTTGCTTGCTTTTTGTGTCCGTCTGATGCGCGATCAGAAAAGTTACGAAGCTGGAATTTTCGGATGTTTCCTGTGCGTGTGCGACTCCGCAAATTTAAAGTCAGCTCTTGCGTCTCGAATACGACAGGAGGAACATTGACAGGTCTGTAACTCGGAATCAGGCAATATTTGTGGTATTTTTAAAATCATCATTAACATCAAATGTTGCTGGGCAGAAAAGCGCAAAACGCGTGGTCGCATTACTGGCTAGTTTGGCGCTTGCTGTTACTTATATTTTTTCCTGCAATCTTCTCAATAGGCGGGTTAGGCTTTGTGAGCTATGTGCAGCAAAGCAAAGTTGCTTGATGACGTTGGATTTTCGTGCGTGAGCTCATCGAAACTTCATGGTTCACATGAAGCTAGAGCCATTAGCTGCTGATGTGGAACGGGCCTATCACTCATTCTGCACAGCAACTAATTCCACTGCAAAATGACCCTACCCATTCAACAACATCATTTCAGCCGAATGTGTGGATCACTCTACGAACTGCGCTAGGTTTGCTTTGCTTGGGCTTTGTAGCAATCCGCAAACCAAATCGCACATGCGAGTCAGTTGCAAAGGTTCGTGCGGTGTTGGCTCGAATTGCTGTGTCGACCAGGATAAGAACTGCTCCGCGTCAGTCTCATGCAGCAGTGCAGACATGTGGAAGAGATGCGTGAAGACTTGTTCGCGCTGTAATTGTAAAGATGAAGCCAATAACTGCGCTGCTTACAAAGCTCACTGTCGTGACCAGAAATACGCTACATTAATGAGAACTCGATGTGCACTCACATGCAAATTCTGCTGAATTTAAATTGAAAATGATGCAGTAAAGAAGCTTCGGCTTGCGTTGTTAAATGAATGTCTTCTCATTTGAAGCACAATTCAACAACAGTTTCTCAGTTCAACACTTCCTCAGTTTAATATTTGCAAATTTCTCTCAAATTCGGAGAACAACGTCTTCTAGCTATTAGCATGAAGTGCAAATGAAATTCTTTTGTGTGTATATAAAAAGTATGCAAAAGGAGATCATAAGGAATGAGGAGTAAGAACTTCTGGGGTAAGAAAAACAGCTATTCCTAAAACAGGGGGAGCAGGGATACGACAAACTGAAAGAAGACTGCAACTTCGAAAAGCGGTTGGAGTGGGAAGAAGGTTGCATGTGCGCAAGTGTAAATCGATACACATTTTAGGTATACGATATCTTATATGGAAGAAAACATCGCGTCAAAATTTCAGCCACTCTTTTCAGGCAAGCTTTCGGGTTAGAACAGTACCAAGTTACAAACTTTGACATGATCGTACGAGCTTCACAAGCGTGCGCGGCAGCTGAATTTGAAGTCTTTAGCTCGCACATGCACAGGGAGTGTCTCTGCAAAGTTTCGACTTTTTACCTTGTCTGGTTCGCGAAATCGCTTCCCGCCATTGAACTTTGCATATTTTTTTCGGGAGTCCGTACGCGGGGTCTAGGCGCGTATGAGGGAAGATCTTGAAATGGGAGGGTGATACATGGGGTAGGAACATATACCCAGAGTTTCAGCCTCCCAACTTTCCTGGTTGCTGAGATGAAAGTGGGTGACAAAATGCACTCGTTTGTGAACACACACACACCCACACAGACAGCCTCTCGACAATATACGTTTTAGCTGACCGTAGCAGCGCTAAAGCGCTTTATGCGTTTTTGCTGTGCAACGCTATAGCGCTGTAGCCCTACACAGCAAAAACGCATGAAAAGGAAGGTGCTGTCTGACGCTTTCGTGGAAAATAAACGTTAACAAGGGGGCGGTGCATCGCTTCGTGGCGAACGCACCCGTTATGGTGGCTGCCTGCTTCAGTCCATTCTACTCGATCAACAGTGACTGGCGTCGATCGGCATTTGCCTTGGAGTCGGCACTGCACTACCGACAACAACAGATTAGAGTCTACTTTTCAATATCGACGGGAGTAACCGACAGCTCATCGCAAAATCTTCTGTTCCCGGTCGACAGTGGCCGGCACTCCTCCAGCAACGTCTTTTCTGAATCAACAGCCCATTTGGGATCAGCAGCTCTCTTGTGGATCGACGGCTTCAATACGATATCGGCAACGGCCGGTGGATTACATAATCGATGGCTCCAATCCATACCGATGGCGGTCGGTGGCTAGCACAGTCGACGGTTTGGACCAATACCGACAAAAGCTGGTGGATCCCTTTATCGACGGGGCTACTTATCAATACCGTGGACGCTTTGTACTCGTCGACGTCTCAGCGGGGATCGGTGCTTTAATACCGATAGATCAGCAGTAACGTTTCCTCTCCACAGCCGTTCTATGGCCTTTTATTTTAACTGTTTTCAAGATGGAGCCAGGGCTGTTCCTTCTCCGATGACCTAATAAACGTTACAGTTTGCTGCTGCTTTATCAGCTAATTGACGACTTCTTTGGGTCCGTTCATGAGTCTAATCAGTAACACCGCTTTCGTCTACTGCACCGTTTTATTGAGAATCTCGGTCTGCTATTTCGCCTAATCAATTTACCGGAGCCGCCTAAGTAATTCCATTCAGCAATCGCTCTCCCGTATCAAATCGAGCCAACGAGAAGTGTTTGTATCAAGGAAATCGATTCAGCTTGTATCAAGGAAATCGATTCGATTTGTAATTCTTGGTAAGCGATTACTCACGTACGGGCACGTTAGAATTTTGACCGGCTCCAAGATTCACGAAAAAAAAAAAATGAACAAGCTAGCAGGTCTGGTGCGTCGCCATCTAGACTATTTTTAAATTTCTTACGCAATGTTATTAGTTTCATACTTGAGAGATAACAATAAAGACGTGCCAACAGCCGTTGTTTGATGTGCGCAACAACGATGCAACAACCAGAAACAGCGAACCTGTACAAACGACAAAGGCTCGTTCTGGACGAAATCAACGGCCTGGCAATGCGTACATTGCATGCCATTTGTGTTTTCTTTATCAATAGCGTAGGTGAGATGTGTCTTTCAGAACGCTGGATGTACTGAAGAAAACAGTGGGGGACGCACGAAATAAGCACTGAATGGCCAGTGCCCTGTCCTACGGTATTCACTAGGAAAAAGACTGCAGCATCGATTGGTTGAAAAT